ATAATTTTTAATAATTAAATGAAAAAAACCTGATGTTTTCAAACGGATAACTTTAAATGTATTTTATGTTATTCGAATAATAAAACTTCTATGACACAGATAAAGTTCTTCCCTGTGTGTTGTGGAATTTCGGTAATCTCTATATATTATAAAATAGAAGTCCCTTTTTTGTATGTACGCTCATATCTCGAAAAGTACTCTTAAAAAGATTTTAATACGGTTTTCACTAATATATCGGTCTAGTGACGTGGAATGTTTTAATGTATTATTTTTCCTGGAAAAATTAATTGGGTTTTAAGATTTACGATGGAAACTTTTGTTTATAAATGATCGCTATTGGTTATAGGAGAAATAATTAGTAGAAATTAGTATTTCATTTGTATATTGGTTGCCATTAATAGTTAATCAAATTGAATTTTCGCACATTGCCTATCAAGGTGGCTGAGCTGCATTTATGGTCGCTCATCAGCGTGTCATCAATCCACCGCAGTATGAGCGGGATCAGGCTTGAGAGGTGTTACCCTTACACCCAAAGGTCAAAATTAAAAATATTAATTATCAAGGTCAAAATCATCCGCATAACAAAAAATTTCAGCATTAAGCTTTATATTAAAAGACAGTTTATGTATATTATAATGAATAAGACAGGACCAATTACTGTACCTTAAAGTACAATTTGTCATCACTAAGTAATCCATTTAGTCTTACTTATTAATGTCTTGCAGAAATAAATGTTTTAATTAAATTAAAAGCATTGCTTCTTATACCACAATATTCTATTTTTTTAATCAATAAATCGTGATTTACGCAGTCAAAGATTTTTCGAAATCCAGAAAAATACCAAGAACTTTCAATTTTTTATCTAAATTACTATTAATAAAATTTGAAGTTTTAGTTAAAGGATCAATAGAAGACATATTTCAGTGGAAACAAAATTGATTAAATGAAAACAATTTATGTTTGTCTAGAAGTGACATTAATCTTGATTTGATATATTTCTCAAGTATTTTTGAAACAGTTAAAGTTAGAGCAATAGCTCAGTAATTTTCACATTGTTTTCGATCACTAGATATAAAAAGTAATATATTTAATCATAGTTTTTTGCACTTGCTCTAAAAGTTGTAAGTATCAACAAATAATATTTTAAAATTACAACATTATTATATATTCTTGGTTTAAATATGTTATTTTGTCTAAATTTTAACTTAAAAAAATTATAAAAAAGTTAGGTAAGTACACATTTTTTTTACATAATGTTACCCAGGCACATAAAACTTGGAACACAGTTTACCGGGGCATCGGTATGGTTAAAAATGTTTTTTTGTGGTTACAAATTGTTACATAAAATATTACATAATACCAATCAGTTTTCAAGTCGAAAATTTAATTATTTAATATTTCGGGTGCTGGGGTAACATTACCCTGGCATCCGGAACTTCTATCGCGGTTTTCTGGGACACCGGTTTGGTTACAAAATTTTTTTTTGTGGTTAAAAATTGTTACCTAATAGATAACATAAAACTTATCAGTTTTCAAGTCGAAATTTTGACATCTTGGTGTGCCAAGGTAACACCCTGATCAGCTTGTTATACTATAAATACAGAGGGAATAAAATTGTCCCTTGCAAAACAATTTTTGTTATGTTATACATTTTGTAAGCCGGGGACAAAACATGCGGTACTACCTATTATTTAGAATTTAGATTTTATGAAATATATAATTAATTTTTAGTACAATTCCTTATTATTTAATGGGACATCACATTTTTTTACTGAAGATTATTGAACTTTATAATACAAGATTATTATTGACTCTATATTACATGTATATTTAGGATTATTAATAACATTGATATTTATCAAAAAAAAAAAATTTCTTCAATATGAAATGTATTTTCATTAATATTGGTTTAAATTTTAATTGATTTTGTGTTTCCAAATTATAATATTTTAAGTAAAAACCATTGTAGATAATGTTCTTAATTTGATGTTAAATAATAGTTCAATTCACTCAAATATAAAAATAACAGAGTAAAATGAATTATTCTAAGTATATTGCGGGTAAACGTCCTCTTAATTATTCTTCGTCAGGTTTAAGTTTTTTCCTGGTTTTATTTTGTGAAAACTGTATGGAAAACTACGGGAACGTGTGTTTGTGACGGGAATTGATTTTCACAATAAACAACAAGTAATTTGTTTTCAAATTGGCAATGTCTGTATTTTGATTTAATTGAGTTATACACGTCTAAATACAATTTGTACGGTGAACATTAATATTAAAATTAAAAATTAAAAGCATATTAAGGCATTATATTATACACATGCATCTTTATTCTTTGATTTTCTATTGCAACTGTTTTAGGTACTTAGTCTTGCTGTAATTAATTATGAGTTATGTTACCAATTTGTAACCGTATTCGCTCAGAATCGTTTTTCATATATAGTATATACAATGTTATAGGTAATACCATTGAATTCAAAATTAACAAATCCATTACAGTGATCCACACGACTCAGACCTAATGTTCCTACAGAAAAATACCCACCACCCACCTTCTTTAAATTTTTTTTCTGCTTTTAAAGTTTTTTCTATGGTTTATAATTTTACATTTGATACCTTTCTTATATATTATTTTTAAACTTAAAAGGTTGGTAAAACTTTAATTACTTATATTTGTTAGAATAAACGTATCAAGTGACAATAAACGTGTCAATTCCTAATTTCTTTAAACATTTTATTAGTGCAAAATAACTAGGAGAGAATTTATCGAATATAAGGACTCGAATATCTTTTTTAGTCTTGTAAAATAAACACAATCAGTAATGTCCTAGATAGTTTGGCATCCATTGATTGCTATGCGTGTGGCACAAGGCCAGATGACATTTTTCCGGACACTATTTTCGTCTCATTACTATCAAAACGCTGGAAATTTGATAATTTGATAATTTTGTATGATCTAATGATAATTTAAGTTTCCCTTTTGTGAGCATACTCGAGTTTAAAGGGCTGTCGTCGTTGTTTGTAATTTATATAAAGGTAGGTGTATCAATATAATAGTTAATATAGATTATTCGGTTTAGTTATATAGTATTAATGAGATTTAGGTCGTTATTCATGGCTTGTAATATTCTAATTTGGTTCTTGGCGTCATTATTTTAGCTATACCTACTCATTCAGTTTTATTTGACGTGTGTTTTGTGTTTCATGAAAATATATATATACATAATACATGTTGTTGATAAAGAAAATAATAAATAGCTGCCTGAATTTTTCTTCTTGAATCGTGTATTCGTGTGGGATTTATAAGGACGCCCTCGTATTTCTAGTTCTGTTTTTGGATTACGTACATGTGAACGATTGATTTAATTACCGTGATATTTTAAACATTTAATTTACGTATTACGTATTTACGTATAGTACAAATGTATAAGATGTGTCATCGCCTTTTACATAATTTTATATAAAATGCTTAAGACTCATTGCATAAACGTTAGTTGTTTTGTTATTTTGACCTATTGTATGATTTATGTTACAGTGAAATCTATGTAGTTTATTCCCAAAAGCAGTTCGCTATTTTGAGGTGTTCGTCAGGAGAGGTTTTTATGAAACCTGTGTATACTGTATATTATACTATGTAATAAATCTAATACTTATTACTTAAATAGAGTTTTACTTTACATTAATTAAATTATAGGCGACTGATTTATGCATCTTGGTTTGGCATTACATACCTAATATCTTAAAAAGTAAAAACAAAATGAGCAACTCATAAAATTAATACTCACTTTGGATAAAAGGCCACTAGGGGATGCTATAATTATGGAGCCAGAGAGCCGTTTTTAAGGTAGTAAAAATTGTATGTGTAAAACTAAACGTGGCCCCAATTTTTATATTATGTTATTTTTAACTTACAAGAATTACATTTATCATGCATTACTTCCATTTTATCTCAATCTACGTATTATAGACAGTAGAATTACTATGTAAGTTAGGTATCGTATTATAACAGTATATTATTTTATAGATTTTCCCATAATTTAGACATTTCTTCACTAAATTTGTTATGAAATAGATTCGTTTTGACTTATTTACTATATCTATATTCTATAGCGTCTGACAAGAAGGATGTAATATACGAAAACATATTTGCGCATTGAAAATATTGAGAACATTTGTTAGTCGAAATTAGTTATGACGGAGTTTTATTTAAGTTAGTAATCAAAAGATGCAGTGAATCAGTGTATTTTGAAATTTGGTATTATAAACTCCTTCATTGGTATTATAAATTATATATTTGGAGATTTATAAAGATCGGTTTGGTTTGAAGATGAATTGATTGGAATATATATTTTTTAATTTTTATTAAACTGGAAATACAATTAATTTTTATTCTTACCATGTTTCAACGTCATTCAAATTCGTGGGCTTAAAATGTAAATTATCTGTAGTCTGTTATTTAGTTTCTTGAAGGTCGAATTTGTCAGTGATGTTAAAATGTATTAAAAAAAATTTTTTATTTGTCTCGTTAAATCAAAAGTATAAAATTTAAAAAATGTTTGACTATACTTTTACTCAAATTTTAAAATACAAACTACTGTATACACAGTTGATTCTATTTTTTCTGATTTAATGCTATTACGATTCATAAATAATTTCAAAGTTTTTGTTTTCTAATACTTATTGTTTGAATCTTAACATAATATGCTGCTCTTGCAGACTTTTTGTCAATGATTTTTGTTGTTAACACATAATCAAATTATTTTATTTATTGACACAAAGTGCTTCAGTATTTTATCTTTAAATTATTATATTGTTCAGTGAAATATAATTGATAGTTGTTTTTATATTTTAAAACAATTTAACTAAACTATAGGTAAAATATATATTATATAATATATAAAATATGTGTAAAATTAATTTTTCTTTTACTTTATAAAAACAGAATTAGGTTATTTGATTTGTTATTATTTAATTGTCCTGTTTTGTTTAGAACTTGAATAATGGCGTCACACTATCGTAAAACTCTTCCATCGGCTGATGCAGCGTTAGCATCAGAAGTTTTTGATCGTTTTTGTACTGCTTCTACAATGAAGACTATTCTTGGTCATTTTCGACATCTATGTGAAATATTATGCATCAAGCCTACTAATTTTCCTCAATTTTATCCAAAACTTAAGGTAAATTTTTAATTGCATAATTTAAGAGTTTAATTACCTATATAAATGTATTATTGTTTATTTAAATAATTTAAATTGTACAGTATAAATTAATTATTATTAATTACAATTGAAATTAGATATACATTCTTTATATCTAAAGTTTTTATTAAAATTGTAATCAATTTTTTCCAGTCTATGCTATGTTCATGGAAAGCAAAAGCTTTATGGAATAAATTTGATAAAAAAGCTAGTCACAAGTGTTATAATCGTGGAAAAACTTGTATGAATACTAGGGTAAATTTAAATTCTGTCATAACTTATTTTTTACTAAATTAACTTAAATAAATTATTTAGGTTTTAATAATTGGTTCGGGGCCATGCGGATTACGTGCTGCTATCGAAGCTCAGCTTTTAGGTGCTAAAGTAGTTGTAGTGGAAAAAAGAGATCGTCTCTCAAGAAATAATGTCCTTCATCTTTGGCCATTTGTTATTCAAGACTTAAAATTGCTTGGTGCAAAAAAATTTTTTGGTAAATTTTGTGCTGGTGCTATTGATCATATAAGTAAGATATAAATATTGGATCATGTTATTAATTTTGATTTCTAATAACTACAATTATTTTCACAGGTATTAGGCAGCTTCAATGTATTTTGCTAAAAGTTTCATTAATCTTGGGTGTTGAAATTCACGAAGGTGTTAGTTTTGATTCACTTTCTCCACCACCCGATAATGATGAAAGTATGTTTTAATTTAATTAATATAGTCTTCAAATTTCAATTTTATATTGTACATAGTATACAGTTCACACATGCCCATATGTATAGGTTTGCATCAATATCAATATTCAGACAAGTGTTGTATTTCATTTTAAATAATGTATTTTGTTACCAGAAGTCACATAAATCTCAGCTCTACTAAATCAAACCCATAATTCATAATTTATTATTTTATAATCATATGCTTTTTCCGAAAAACTATTGATTTTTGTATTGTATTTATTTATTAAACAATAGAAATCGGATGGAGAGCTATCTTTAGTCCATCAGATCATCCTGTTTCTCAGTATGAATTTGATGTTCTTATTGGTGCTGATGGCAAACGGAATACATTGGAAGGTATGTATCTCAATTGGACAAAAAGAAGCTATAATTTTATGACCAACAATTTTTCTACTGTTTTAGTGTGTTATTACTTTATTTTTATGATTATTTTTTATTTAATTATTTAGGTTTTAAAAGAAAAGAATTTCGCGGTAGGTTAGCAATTGCCATCACTGCTAACTTTATAAACAAACACACTGAAGCTGAAGCAAGAGTGGAAGAAATATCTGGAGTTGCTTTTATATTCAATCAAAAATTTTTTAAAGATCTTTATCGGGAGACAGGAATTGATTTGGAAAATATTGTTTATTATAAAGACGAAACTCATTATTTTGTTATGACTGCGAAAAAGCATAGTTTGATAGATAAAGGTGTTATATTAAATGTATGTATCTAAAAAAGATCACAGTTATTCTAATAATAGAAACACAAATATTTGTACAACTGAAAATATGTAGAAACTAGAGGTCAGAATAAGTTTATCATAAAATATAATATAATGTTTCATTTTGTTAAAAATAGGTAATATATTCTCTTAATATTTTTTTAACACATTAGATGTTTTATTTATTAAGTTATAGTATCTGAAATCGCCCATTAAAATAGTTTTTTCTTCCAAAATAATGAGTGTTCATTTTAATTAAATCATAACAGTTTTACAATTGTGGCAGTCCTATAATAATATTATTATGACAACACTACTATGCACTTTTATTAATATATTTTTTAAGTTTTTTCTCCTTAAATTAAAATTTTTTTTAAAATTAATAATGCTGTACTTCTAAAAGAGCTCAAAACCTGTCATAATTGATGAATCAAGTATCGAGTAATAAATAATAATAAGTTATTTTTTTATTATCGCCATTTTGGTGTTTTGTATACTATTTTTAAACAAAAATTTGTTATATTCAAAAATAATTCCGCAATAAACTAAATATTCTTTTCTTTAAATATATGCATTTTTTTGTCAACAATTTTTACTCTTCAATTTATGGAATATGAATTGTAAAAAAATGAGTGGTAAGAATTGAATTGCATAGACTCATAAAAATTACAAATATCATATAACTCTGACCTCTAGTTATAAAAAATACTAATATTTTAATATTCATCTTGGATATGTTGTAGATTAAATACCTCATTCATGTACATTTTATTTATAGGATTATGCTGATGTTGCTAAATTGTTGGCTCTAGAAAATATTAATAAAGAAGCATTAACAGAATATGCTAAAGAAGCTGCAAATTTTTCAACTAATTACTCATTGCCTCAACTTGAATTTGCTGTCAATCATTATGGTCAACCTGACGTAGCTATGTTCGATTTCACTTCAATGTATGCTGCTGAAAATGCTAGTCATGTGATACAAAGAAACGGTCATAAACTCTTGACTACATTAGTTGGAGATAGTTTACTGGAGGTATATATGAATACAATTAGTTTAGTAAAAAAATATTAATTGTAAGGTTTTTATATTATATTTTAGCCATTTTGGCCGACTGGCTCTGGTTGTGCTCGTGGCTTTTTGAGTTCAATGGATACTTGTTGGGCTATTAAACATTGGGGCTCTCCAGATTCTAATCCATTAGATGTATTAGCTGAGAGAGAGTCAATCTATCATATTCTTGGTCAAACAACACCTGAAAATTTACAAAAGAATATTGCTGGTTACACTGTTGATCCTCATACAAGATATCCAAATCTAAATACACATGCTGTTTTACCTGTGCAAGTTGTACATTTATTTGATTGTGATGACAAGACGGTTGTAGAAAAACATCTCAAAGCACCTCGCCAAACAATTACTCCAGTACAAGATGTTCCAAAAAAACGTAGACGAAAAGGTAAACTATCTTAGCATTTTATTTTTGTTTTATGTTTTATGTTTATCATTATTCCTATTAAAAATATTTTTATTTAAATATTTGAAAACAGTCCGTTTGGCTGCACTTGATCCTGCAATAAAGGGTGAATAATATAATATACACAAAACTTATTCGTGTGTAGTACTGTGTTATCTAACAGTGTGTCTTGTGTTTTTTATTAATTTTATTTACATGTCAATAAAAAACAAGTATTAAAAAAAATATATGATCAGCTATTAATTTGTATATTGTATTTTTTTAGAAAGTCAAGTAAATCAAGAAACATTGCATCATTGGTTAAAAACTCAAGTTGAACCCTACGATTCGATATCTGTTGAAGATTTAGCAAAATCATTTAAAAATGGCTTAGCTTTATGTGCAATTATACATAGGTACCGTCCAGACTTGGTAGATTTTTTTTCTCTTTCGTCATCTGATGTGGCAAAAAATAATCAATTAGCTTTTGATATTTTAGAACATGAATTCGGAATTCCTCCAGTAAGTTTAGTTTATATTATTTTTAGTATTGAATATTATACTTACATATTTTATATTTTAGATAATGTCTGGTATTGAAATGGAACAGTGTGATATACCTGATATTTTAGCCATGTTATCGTATTTGTCACAAGTTTATGATACATTCAGACGAGAAATTCCGCATATAAATCATCCAAAATTGGTATTTAATTTGTTTTATATATTAAATCAATTTAAATAACTTATTATTATTTATAAACAATTTTAGGAAGATAGTGATCATGGACCAACACCAGCAGAAAGTCGTTTTAGAATCCATGTTACTAGAAATAATATATTTGCCCCATATTCAAAACCTTCTACATTGGTAAAACCCATTTCACAATCACGAAAACGTTCAGGCGTTAATAATATATCAACTATTGATAAAAGTACTTCTTCTATGCAAAGGCGCAATAGAAAGCGACGTACTAACATTAATAATGGATCATTGGTAATTAATCGTAGTTTATCATATTTAATAATATAATCTATGAACAATTTTTATATTATAATACAAATTATTTAAGTAATTACTGAATTTAATATAATAAAATAATAATATTTTTGCTAATAATAAGGCACAAATAAAAAAAAGACTACATTTACGGATGCAGCAAATTTATATAAGAGAACCTGAAGAAGATGAGTTTTTTGAAAATAATCATGAAGAGTTTAAAGAACGAGCTAGAGAGTTGGAGAAAAAATTATTTCCAAGCGTAAGGAGAATGTGTTAAAAACTGTGGTTATTGTGTTAGTGTGTGAATATTTTTCTTAACTTATCCAAATAATACATTTTTAATTAGAACAAAAGTTTAGTTTTTTTAAATTATTGAAATTCTTCACTAATTATTATAGTTATAATATGATATATTGTATTTATACATTTTATATTATTAACTATCAGTTTTAATTATCCAATAATTATTACTTTATATTATTTTATTTAATTATATACCTACTGGTTACAACTGCAATCGTCCTCCTTTTTGAAAGTTCCTATAAAAAAATTGCTACTGTATTAAATTATTTTGACCTAATGTGTGTATGTTTTTTATTAAGTTTGAAAATAATTATGTTAATTAATTATATATTAATTATATTAACAAGTGATATGTTATGTGCATTAATGAACATGTGTGTCAAACTGTTACTAAACTAAATTAAGCAGTTTAGTTTGATACTAAAATGTAAGAGTTGAAACAAAAATTTTACTTTAAAATCCTGTTATACCTGTGAGTTGTGATATGCTTAATCTTAAATTTTATATTTATGTATTCATTTTTAAAGTATTTGTGTCTTATTTTAATACGGTGATATTGTTACATTTGCAAATAATATTATAGTACCTATGGTGGAGAAGTGTGTTCAATACTGACATATAATTTTAGCAATTTACTGTATTTGCATTTGTGTTTTCTTTTTAATTTTAATTTTCATTATTTAAGCCAAGAGACGCTCGTGTACAAGAAGATTGTTCTTCACCTCGATATAAAATGGAGGAAGATATTTCAGTGAGAGCTAAGGAAATTGAAGCAAAACTTAAAGGCGGCCCAGCACCTGATAAAAAACCTAAAGACCTAATGAGGGCAATTGGTATGGTTATAACAATAATATTGTATTGTTCAATAATTATTTTACATATGTATTATATATCTCTTTGTAGGAAAAATCGACAAAAGTGATTGGAACGTAAAAGAAATTGAACGGAAAATCGAAGAAAGTAAAGTACATGCTAAACATATTAAAAATGGTACTGAAAAGGTACCTAAATGGAGTCGCCCTCAATTTGACGATAAAGTATTATTACTAATAAATAATAATATAATACATTTTTATTTAAAAAGATTCACTTAATAAAAAAAATGTAATATATTAGGTTAGTGCAATTAAGAAAAAACTTCATGTAAAAGGATATCAAGATGGGATCAACAATGACAAAAAATTCCTTGAAATTGATGATAATTTAAATAAATTAAATAGAAAAATTAAAGATGGAAATATTTTAGATCAAGGTTTACGAGGTGCTAATAAAGTTTCAGCAATGGCTGCACATTTAGCTACCATAAATAAACAGCCTGAACAGCCTTTACTTCAAAGATCTGTGAGTAAACTTTTTTTTATCTAATATTTTATACTTTTAAGATATTTCTAAAATTCGAAAAATGACATTCTTCAAGAAAATATTAGAGCAAATCTATATAATAATGCAAGCACTTGTTTTAATAAAATACAGTAGAATCTCGGTAATCCGGCAGATATCAGACCAGAGGACTACCAGATTATTGGAGGTTCATATTAAATGTATTTTTATTTATTGCAAAACCTAAATACCTGCGACATTTTAATTTAACATGACATAATACAACACAATAATTAATCGATGCCCAATATATACGTGAACGTTTACTGAATAAAAATAAAATATCTAATTGGTTCATTTAGACTTAAATCAGTTAGTTTTTTTGTTTATGATATTAATGTTATGGTTATTATAACGAAAAAATAGCCGGATTACTACATTTCTTGCACCGCCGGACTATCGAGAGTATACTACTGTATTGACAATGTTTTACTAATACTGTAAAACAATATTTCTTTTGATCTTATAACTGGACAGTGTTTTTATACTTAAAGATACCTGTCACCGTGACCACTGACCAGTCTATGCAACTACTGTATCTTACTTTTATATTTATAATACTTGGATAAATAACTTTAAAAATATTTAGAAAAAATATTCGAATACTTATACAACTAAATACTCAGAATATGTATTTGAACAGCATTTCCAAAATATTCTGAATATTACCCAAGCATGATATTTTATAAATTGTATCTTGAAATATGAATGAAATTAAAAGTTCTGAACTTTTTCTTTTGATGTATTTTATATTTGGTAATATATTGGTTCTGTATTATTTTTTTAAATAGGTTTTATACAAAGAAATTGAAATTAAAATATATTTTACTTACTATTTTTAGGGTACTAAAAATACTGTAATAATTCCACAAGGTGGAAGTGAAACATGCCATTTTTGTAAAAATCGTGTTTATTTAATGGAGCGGTTAAGTGCAGAAGGCAGATTTTTTCACCGTGGTTGTTTCCGTTGTGAATATTGTCATACAACTCTGAGATTAGGCAATTATATGTATGACCGTGAAGGTAAATACGACAACCGTTTCTACTGTTCTCAACACTTTGGAATGCCTGGGACACAGCAGATGAGATCTAGGCGTAAACTTGAACAAAAGACTGAACCCGATTTAGGAACTAAACCAATTGTTTTGGCTAAAGCCCCTGATAAAGTATGTTATGCATGTATTATTAAGCTTATAATTTATTGATGCTTTATTAATTTTATATTAGATTAAGGCATCGATGGAGTCATTAGATCGGGGTGAAACACCAGAACGAGTGGAGTTTGAAAATTTAGATTTAGAAGAAGATTTGGTCCTTAGTGAAATGGATGAAGATGAATGGACTGATCGTAATTTTGGTGCTTCAGCTAATGAAATGCTATCTTCCGACGAATTATCTGAATTTAGGTTAATAAATAAACTTTTAACTGTTATTTAACCTGTTTCTTGAGTATTGAAAATATTCTGTTTTAGTGATAGTGAGAGTGACGAGAATCAAAACCTAGAATTAAATGATGATAATCAAGAGCAAAAATTACTGCCAATAAATATTAATAATGACAATTTATGTAGCATAAATATTGAAGATGATGGCTTAAGTTCACAAAATGAGTCTGATGAGTCACAGGATCGTTTCAGTTACAAAGAATTTGATAGTGGAGGTAATATTACTAAATATCTATATTTAAAAAATTTTCTTTCTGCATTTAATTCTTGAAATCCTATTTATCCATTTATATTGTAAATAAACTTTCATACATTATAATATATTATGTATTTATAATATATTTTAGATGATGAGAGTGACACAGCAACTGAAGGTGAAGAAGAAATTAAAGCACGGGAAATAAGAAAACAAGAAGTTTGTTTACGTATCCCTAATATATCCTCTGCTACTACAGATACTGGATCTGATACAGAGGTGATGTTTTTTACGCCTCCCAAATCAATAGAAAATTCCTTGATTTGTTTAAATAAACATAGTGAATCTATTAGAAATGATCAATCCTCAAAATCAATCAAAACAAACATAAATAAAAATATAATAAATATTCAAGAATCTCCTAATTCATTAAATATTAATTTTAATAATAATCCTGATAATACAGGTTATCTCAATAATAATTTTGCAAGTACAAATCCTAATTTTCAAAAATCTCCAATAAAAAATTGCGATGTTTCATTAAATAATGTTACAAATGATAATAATTGCAATTTTCAAAATAAGTCTAAAAATGTATGTGTACAAAAAATGAAAAATGGTGCTAATCCTAAATCGAAATTCTTTAAAATAGAAAATACAAAGAAATTTCCTATGATTTCAAATGCAGTTTCTACTGATGAATTAATGACTGATATTAATAGTTCAATAGAAAAAGATGTCATGCTTTCAATTGATAATAATCGTTCGAATGAATTAGAAACTTCTGAATCTTCAATGGATTGTATAAAAAATAATACAAGACAGCAATCAAAAAATTACAATACTAGTTCTAGCTTAAAAACCCATGATGATTTGATTGAAAAAGATGATAATATTCTGTCAAATAGTTTTACTAATGATCCCAATTTATCTGAAAAAATAATTGATAGTAAAAATTATAGTAAGCCAACGAAATTAAATATGGTTACTACCGAACCTTATCCAAAATATACGCCGACAGTTGAAAAGGCTATTAAAAAGTATGAAAATAAACAACCCAAAAAAGAATGTATTGTTATGTAAATTTCTATATAGCAAAATAAATAATAAATACTTAATTATTCATCCACATACAACTTATATTATATTATATACATGTGTGAAAAAATATTAAAATTTAAGCTAGAATCCATAGTACAGAATCTTCACAGATATACATAATAAGCCTTTCTCTCGACTATCATATGGAATATACAAATCAGGTAAAAACAATGGGAATTATGTGTTACGTGTGACTTCGTTGTGTTTCAATAATTTAACTTTTGATAAATGTAATGTAATGCAACTTCCATATTTTAATATTATTGTGTATTTATCTAATTTACATGTATCTATATTTATGTTGTGATATTCTTGTATATTTCAAATTGATCAAGGAGTTAAACTAACAAACTATAATTTTATTATAATCTAAGAGGATGTTATACTTGCATATGTTGTCTCCGTCTTACTAAAGCATAACCTACAACATTTGGGTTCAATAGTTCCAATTTTGAGTTAGCACAAATATTAAAGTGAATTGACCTTTTGTCAAACTTAAAGGTAAGAACATTATCTGTGTTCTTCCGTTGAGTTTTTAAGATATTTTCAATTTTAAACTAGTTATGAGTAAAATACTAATATTTGAAATTGTTCATTACTGGATTAAGAATTAAAATATTATAAAAACCAGCCAGAGATAATATGTTCTTACTATTCAATTTGGGAATAGCTTAATTTACGCTTAATTTGAGCCAACAATACAAAATTGGAACTGCCAAACAAATATTTTGGTATGTTATGTGTTAGACACTACAGTTACAACACATACAATATGCTTTTAGTAACAATTGATTTTAACTGAAAATGAATTATAGTATAAAATGTATATTTTAACATGTTCATTAATTTAATGGCTTTTGAAATTGGAATTTTTACTATTAAGAGGAAAGGCTTGTTTTCGTATGTCGTGATTATTTCACTAAATTGCATTATATGTAATTAATACAATAATACTGTGTTTATTATGTGAATGATTTATTGTATTAACTAATCAAAGTTTTATTTAATGTTTATTAACTTATAACTAGGGCTTGGGAGTTATAACATTAAAAAATATACTTTTTAGCACTTAAAAGGTAAAAATATGCACTAAAAATTCAGAAATATGCAAAATACAATTTTTCAACAAAATACATTAACTTTTTTTTATTGTTATTCTTTAAAATACTATTTTCATAATATTTATGTATAGTAGAAGAAAAATAGCACTAAAAACCATAATTATGCAAAAATCTGCATAATTAAATATTGTATTCAGTATCAGGGAAGTGTGAAACAAAATTTGTATTATTCATTAAATGTTCTAACTTCTAAGACTTACCAAAAAAAAATATTTATTTACTAGATCCCTGCTTATAACAAATAATCATAACATATGATTGATATCCATATGCGTTTATAATGTATATACAGAGTGTCCCGTGAGGATTTACTCATTGCGATATCTCCTGAAATAATAGAGATATCGTAATTCTGTTTTCTTATTAAGACTCACAGAGGTAAGCACTACAAATAACTAATTTTTTATTTTTTTTTTATGTTTTGGTAAAAAAGTTAAAAAAATTATTTTTTTAATTAATTATTTAAAAAAATATTGAAGATTGCCATTTTGTAGAGTTAATTTTTCTGAAAATATTGACGTTTCAACATTTTAATTTCATTCATTTCCTGATTTTTAATAATTTTTTTAATTAATAAGTAAAACGGCAAAAAACCGGTTTTTGTCCGGGCGGTGAGTCCCCCTCTACGGCTAATAGGTAAATCCTCACGGGACACCCTGTATATATATTTGAAAAATTTAAATAATACCTAAATAATTTCAGTACTTTCCTTTTAAGTTATCAAACATTAAATATAATATAATATTTATTTTTTAGTATTTAGATTTAAATAAAAGATAATATATTGTATTGATATTTCTTATTTTATTTATGTCTTAAAAATATTTATCCATGTCATATAATTAATATATATATATAATATAATCATATATGTATCTGGTATGGATACAAATTATCATACTTTAAATTGTATTTAAAACTAAATGTTTTTTTTTCAGGTTGCTACTGATTTTTATTCATCAAGTTCTGGTAGAAGTAATTCCGCCACAGAAATATCTACGGATTCTGAATTTGAGCGAGATGATAAAACACCAACAAAACATAGTATTCCAAATATAATTGTAAGCGAAAGTATTCAATCAAAACATAAAGTAGAAGAAACAAGAGTTGATCCTTTAGTCCCGGAAAATCCTAAAATTGCAGAAATAGTAAATCGAGCCCAAAATCGACCAAATTTTATTCCATTTGCCAACCCTGGATATGAACTTAATCGAACACAGTCTACAGAAGGTATTGCTACTAAACGTTCATTAGAATTGAAAAAGTTATACTTGTTAGCTGGTAATAGTAATGGCATAGCGGTTAAAAAATCTGGGTCGTCCGTAACTTTAGATACAAAATTTAAAAGCTTTGTTGATCAAATATCTGAGTGTCAAAAAAAATTAAATCCTGCGCCAGTACCCAGTCCTACTATGCAAGCATTCTTACAAAACGTAAGTCCTGTAGTTAATAAAAATGAGAAAAAATCAAAAGAATTATCCGAAATTAATGAATTTAAACATGTCTGTTTAAAACATTCTGAAAAAAATAATGATAGTAATGAGAACAACGAAACTAATCATAACATAATAGAAGTAATTAATACTCAATATCAAGAACACGATAACGAATCACGTCCTCGTAGTCCAGCACACGAAACTTCTATAATTGTACCAGAGTTTCATCGTTCTCAAATAGAAAATAAAATTGAATCAGATTCTTTATCAACAGATGCTTCGACAGATACTGAAAATGATTTAGGAGTCCCTGATATTTCATCTGATGATAAAGATATTCCAAAAGAAAACCATAATTTACCAAAATTAGAAATCCATAACTCTAGAGGCGAACTTATGAATGATATAGAACAAAAAGAACAAATAATTGAATCTGAATGCATTCCAAAATATTCAGATAATGGATTTAACAAGATAATTACAGTCCCAAGTCCAATAAATGATAAAAATGTTAGAAATGGTGAAATATTAAAACATGTTTCAACTACTGCTGATTTGTTTATGAATAATGTTTTAAAACCTAACAATGGTGAAATAGTTCATCCTGAAACTTATGCTCAGTCTTCTGATTATAATAATGATGAAGATCATACTATTGAGGGACAAACTGAAACAGAGCTTTCTGATTGGGCAAGAGATGACGATGTTGGAGTCTCAGAAGCTTGGGATGATTTTGTACATGTTCCAATAAAATCATTAACTTATAGAAAACATCAGAGGCCTAAATCAAAACGTAAACCTAGAAATTCACCAAAGAAACGGCCTAATGAAGATTTAGATGAGTATGGTCATGTCTGTGGAAAAATTGATAGTGATAACATTGAGTTCATGGATACTATTAGTGACAATGATACTAATGAGCATGTTGCTGCATTAAACCAAACATTGCTACACAATACTGGTTATATGGAATTTGTAACCAACCCTCAAATGGACGATGAGCTTAAAACACCAGTGGTAGAGACATTGAATGCTATTTATAACATGTCGGCTGATAAAGATGATAATGATACTACAACAACTAGTGATCTAGTGACAGTAATGGATCTCAATGATATAAATAATATTGACGATGATGCCTTAACTCCAATTGCTTATGAGGACACTAATAAAACCTATCAGAATTATGTGAAACGTTTGCAGGAAAAAATTACACCATTTAACAGTATAAGAGATTCCATTGATGTACGTAAAATGAAAAAAAATAGTAAGGGTGAAAAACTAGATGAAAACAATTTGAAAGAACAAAATGAACAAGAACAAAATTCTACTACTTATAAACTCCAACAAATAACAAAGGAGAGAATGAAAGAAAAAAATTTAGTTCATGATATGGTTATGAGTAAAATGACAAGTAAATCACCTCATGAAAGAAAACCTCGTCGTAACAGAAGTTCACCTTTTTCTCCTGAATCTCATACAGACAATTTTGAGTTTGCAAAACCATTTCCTGTTCACCAATGTAATGCAGATTTAAAACTCCGACCTACATCTCTTCTAATTCCCGTAAAAAGTCCTTTGAGCGAACGAAAAATTTGTTCTACTCAACAGATATCATGTTCAGAAGCATTTTCATTGCCAGATATAAGAAGAGCACTATTTGATGAAAAGACTCCAACATCTAGTATTGCCGAAATATTAAAGTCGACTGAAGAAATACGTGAAAATGCTAGGGCCAGAGCTAGATTAAAGAGCGATTCTGAATTAGGTATAAGTCCTGAAGATAAAATTAGACAACTCAGGGAAAAGTTAGAACGTAGAAGAGCAGTAAAAAGCAACTGTGATGGACTTTCATTACTGACAAAAAGTAAAAGTTGTCAGTCAATTGATGAGTTTGATCTTGATACTGCTTTGGTAAGCTATAAAAATATTAAAGTCGGATAATCATATCATTATTAATCATGTATACTTATTTATATTTTTTTAACCAACATCAGTGCGATACACCAAAAAGAAATGAACAAAATATAATGAATGATCGTCCTGAAAGAAAGCGTAGTATTACTCAAACTGTTATGGCTGCAATTTTCCAAAAGAAGACACCATCACCAAATAAAATTCGTTCTCCATCTAGTCATCAAACATCTCCATCTAGGTTTAAGTTTTTAATGAGCGGAAAAACAAAAGAAAAATCTCAGGTAATTTTTTTTTTTTATATTTTAACTCTTATACATATAACATAAATATTAAGTAATAGGTACAGAGATTAGGATTAATTTAAAATGTTGGATAATTAATAATAATTATTATTAATACAATAAGGATTGGAATGAAAGTGTACAATTTGTTTTTAAAAATTATTCCAGATTTATATACATTTTTTAAGTAATTGTAAACATTTAAAAGATATAACTTAAATTGTTTGTAAATTATAGACAAAATGTATATCACCTATAAAATTTTTGTTTTGTTTCTATATATAAGATACTTATTAAAATAACAAATCATTATTTGATGATTAATTTTATCTTTTAAATTTCAGTCGGCAGATAATGTTTCTACATTCATTGGAGATTATGTATGTGCTCTTAGAGCAGTTTTTTTAACTGTACTCTAATATTTTATTACTTAAAAATAATATTTAGAAGTTTAGAACTGTTGAGTGTAATATTAAATACTGCATAGATTGTAGATTTTTTAGAAGCTTTCACATATTAGAATCTATTGCTTTATTTTCTTGATTATAATGTAGTATGTATATCCATAGGTGCAACTAGGAACATTTTTCTGGGAAGGCTAAAATTGTATAAGCAGCACATGATAATTAATATTTTTAACTAAAAATCTGTTGGGTTACGGTTAAAACTTTGGTAGTGACTAAGATCCTTCCCCCCCTAGCCCTATGCCTATCATACAACAAATTAATATACCGTGTGTTCACGGAAACAGGGAACACTTTATCACTCATTACCCTGTAAATATTTTTCTATTCTGTTTGTGGAACATTCAACTGGACTAATGGATTATAATTTCCTATGACTTTTAACTAATGTATTTTGGGCATGCTCGATATAACTTTTTTTTTAATGATAACAACTATTTTGAATATCATTTTTGGATTGATCAATTTTTTTCAAATAATTTTGATCCATCAACTTGTATTAACTCAAAATTAGAGCTAATTTTATTTTATTTTTAGTTTGTACTTATTGTTTCCTTTTGACGACCATGATACAAATTATTATAAAAACATGTAATTTTAGTAAAGACCTATCATTAATCATTCGTTATTAAGAATTTGAAAGAGTACTAGCTGTTGCAAGTTCTTGTACCCTGTTCTTCATCATTGCCTGTACTTGCTAGTTGTTTCAAGTCCTTACTCGCTGTTACAAGTTCTTGCTCCTTGTTGAATGTCGCCTTCCTCCCTGTTTCAAGTACCATGCAATGATTAGTTTAATAATGAATAATTAATGATAGGTCTATTCTTAAAATACATGTGTTAATAATAATTTGTATCATAGTTGTCAAAATAAACATACATACAAACAAATTAATAAATGAAATAAAATTTAATTTAATAATTGTTCTTAAAAATTATATCTGGCTCTAATTCCGCCAATTTTGCGTTTATAATACAAGTTGATAAATCAAAATTACTTGAAAAAAACCGTTCAATCCAAAAATGATATTCAAAATATTGGTAACCATTATAAAAAAATAAATTTATAATGCACGTACTCAAAATTCATGAGTTAAAAAAATTGTCAGTCTTAGGAATTTATGATCCATTAATCTAGTTGAATGCCCCACAAACAGACTTAAAAAATATTTACAGGGTAATGAGTGATAAAGTGTTCCTTGTTTCCGTGAACACACTGTACTTATGAATAGCTTAAACACCTTAGTGAGATCTCAAATATCTAAAATCATCATCTATAATGAATTACAAAATTGGTTGAAATACATATAATGTAATCCTCCATGTTGTTTTAACATACTATTTGTATACTGTGTATATAAAAAATAACATTATAATAAAATTATTGTTTAAATTATTTAACATTTGTTTGTTACTTAGTGTTTTTTAACAATATAATTTTTTCCTTAGAAAAATTTATTTTGGAACAGTAAAAATCAATAAATTATGATTGTTGTACAACATTACAACATAATATTCGTTTGTTATAAATTAATAACTATTAGTAAAATTTTTAGTTTAAAAAAAGTGTATGAAAATTGTTTATTGTTTTATCGTAATATATCCAAATATAAAATATCAGAAATATATTATTTTATGAGATTGCAATTTAAGCTGTTTCATTATTATCCATTTTCGACTAATAAGACATTAAATATTAACCACCCATTCAAAATACTATAAAAAGCTTTGTGTTCCTCAGGATAAACTTCAATGATGTACATGATAATACTAAAATGTTTGAATGTTTTGCTTTGTTTAAGTTTACTAACACACTAAATTTTACATACATTAAATCAACATTATTTTAACTTTTGATGTCAATACAATTTAAGGTTTTTATTGAAATTGAAAACAAAATAATGTGATATTTTAGTTTTAGTTAATTTTAATTCTTGTTCACTACAATAGTACAAAATATTTACTTTTTAGGATAAAAAGTTAATTCCAGCTGCTGGAGATAAACCTGTACAGTATAAATCAAATAGTGAATCTGAAATCAGACGTCGCTTAATTGATTCATTGGCTCCACCTATACCGCCACTACCATCTTGCTACGATATTGATAATCTACAATTATTAGGTACTTATTTAAAATGTAAAAATAAATGCTGTAATAAGTATAAAAAATTAAACTGATTTTTCTTCTTATAGAAGCAGTTGTTGATGAATCCAAGAAAAACAAAGTTGATGATGACAGTATTCAAAGCGTAGATGGTAGAATGTCAAAGTCTGAGATTAAAATTGCTAGGCAGTCCCAGCGCAAAAGGTATTGCACACAAATTTGAAATTTTCTTATTTTACGGTTCTATAGTTTGAAATGGTTAAAGGTTACGTATTGCACAAGAAATTCAAAGGAAATTGGAAGAATTGGATGTTAAGCTGAAAACTTTAGAAGCTGAAGGTGTCGAAGTAGAGAAGAAGCTTAGAGGAGAAGGTAAAGAAATATTTATTGTACTTAATATTTGTAATTATATTAGTGAGATTGATATTTCATGTGTTTTGGGATTTTTATCTTTAATTTAGGAGGTGAAAAAAATGAGGATGAACCATCTCTTTTGCACACTTATTGTGAATTGATGAGTGAAGTGAATCGATTGAGAAGGGAAGAACGTGAATTAGGATTACAAGCACAAGAATTAGAAATAGAAGATAATCTAGCAAGGTGTGAAACAACCAGTGCCAATGGTAATTACAAATTAAATTGCATGTGTTAAATGCTTTTTGATATTTCATTATTATAGAATGATGTTTTTAAAAGATTTTGATCAAGCATCATTTTATAAAATTACAGAGTTTGGCTCTGGTTTCAATTGTTTGGCCAGCATTCACCGCACAAACCATATTCTTACAAAATTATTTCCCATATATGTCTTAATAGTATTCTATTACTTCAATTTATTTACTTCCTAAATCACTTAATATTTAAGTAATCTAACTATATATAATAATTATTAATTTTAATCAAAATGTTGTTTTTGCTATAAAGGTATACTAATGCTATTAATGGTAATTATTTAAAATACTTTAACAACAATTTTACTCACTTCAAAAATAATTAATATTTATTTCATTAAAATTATAATTAATATTCTCTAAATTTGAATATTATCTTAGCTCATCTTATCTACCCATTAATAATAATGGTACAATATTCAAATCAAATTAATTGAATTATATTAAATCTTCTATTATTCCGTACATGTACATCCACTATATTATGTCATATTAAAGTCAAATTATCAGAGGTCTAGACATAATTTCATTTTTAACATTATCAATTAATTTAGACATGTAGAATATAACTAGACAAAAAAAAAATTAATTGTTTGCCATATTGCACTTATTATATTTGTACATTCTGTATGGAAATCAAAAAGTTAGTATGCTTGTAAAGTGTACTTCTATTTTTAATAAATATTTTAGATTATTAAGTAATTATATAAACCTCAGTATAATTAATAATAATAAATAATATTGTACTTGAGTTTGTAACAAATAATTAATTTTAATAGTTCAAACAACTAACGTATTAACTATTAACAATTTTTCAACTATAATTTAGAATTAATTTACCATAATAAATTGTTATCATTACTTCTACTAGAACCAATATATTTGACTAAATTAAGAAAATATATAATAATAATAAATTCTTACTGAACTTAAAATGCATTCCTTGACAACAAATTTAATTTACGATTCCTATTTTTATTCTTCAAAGCTTATTCATTCTTATGTTGGATTTTTAATCATTGTTTATTAGAAAATTTGTATGAATCATGAATATTGAATTGTTCGTCAGAAATACTGTATTTAGAATTGTTTTTTTAATTTCGAGTCAAGTCGAGTTGAGTTCCAATTATTTTGAGTCAAGTCGAGTTCAAAATACAAGTACTCGACAAATGCTGAGTATTAACTAAATTCGAGTACTCAATAAATGCCAAGTATTTGAAAAAGTCGAGTATAGAAAAAAATTTAGTACTTGATTAAGACGAGTACTCGATTTAAGTCGACTACTCGTAATTACAAGTATAAAAAAAAATGTTGTCGAATCGAACATTTTTCCTAAGTCAAGTACTTGACCAACACTAGAACTGTTAATTTTTCAATATTATGCTTAAAACAATTTTTAAATGTACAATTGATTTGTTTGATCACTGCTATTAAATTTTTTCTGTACAATTAATTTAACTCCGTTAATATTTGTTGTAAGAACAAAATTTGATTATTTTTATTTCGATAGATAATATATGAGAAAGTCAATGGTTTGAATGCATGCATTTAAATAAAAAGCATTCATGGTAAAAGGTGTTAAAATTGTTGTATATTATAGTTTTGAAAGATATATTAAGAGGATGACACACCCGCATGTGTCGGCTCAGTCTTAGAACATGGCAAATTATATGTTCTCAATAATACATTTTACTTTGTAATTTATAAAACTAGAATGAAATGACCTCTTATAAAATTTAATGATAAGATTATTATTTAGGGCATCTCATAGGCTTTTTATTTTGTTTTAATTTTAAAACAGCTAGTTATAAGTTTTATATAATTGTAAATTGTTTGTACATCTTAAAATACTCATAACTCGCTTTAAAATTTAAACATAATAAAAAGCCTATGAGATGCCCTAAATAATATTCTTACCTTTAAATTTTATAAGTTGTCATTTGACTCTAATTTTAGAAGTTGCAGAGTAAAATGTATTATTGTGAACATAAAGTTTGCAATGTTCTACGTTTGTAAGATAGAGACAACACATGCGGGTGTGGCGTCCTCTTAAAATAAACCAAATGCATTCCAGTTATTTTAATTATGCCATAGCCAACTATTGTCAAAGAGATAGATAAAAATTGTATTTGGAGTATCTATTGCATAAAAAAATTAATAATTCAATACAAAGTTGTAGAATATTATAATTATGCTAAAATTGTTTATTTGGTTAAAAATATAAATCTGTACAACAATATTATGATACCAAAATATTTATGTAAATTTGTAATTTTCTTTAGTAGTATTTGAATAAAAATGTTAGCTGAAATGGCATTTATTTTTGGGTGATGGTCAGCATATAGGATACCACTTTAGAACAAAATACTCAAGATAAGTATTTAAATAATTTTTGTATTCAGTAAAAGTTTCACCATTGAGTAGTTCTTGAATTCTGTCTTTAAATAACTCATAGTTACTTATTGTTTAATTATTTACGAGTTTAATATTTTATAGCAGATTGTGAAATACATTTTAAATAAAACAAAAAATAGGACTTATAACTTAACTGTCAGTAGATAAGTTCAATGTAAAATTTAGATTATTAAAATATAATAATATATCATACAATTTTATTTGAACACATAACATTCAAACAGGTGTACTTCGCCTGATGGTATGGTATGGTTTGGTAGCATGTATGTATATCATAAAGTAGTGTAAATATTTGTTTTTAAAACTTAAAAAACTTAAAACAATCTGATCCTCAAAACATCCGTGGTAACCAACAAACCAACCAACTTAAATATACAACACTATGTACATCAAACAGTTTATATGGTAAGCTAACTTCATTTTTATGTTAACAATATCAACATTTCAGTATGTAATTTGTGTTATAAATTTGGACTAAAACATACATCTATGATCATAATCATAATTATATGTTATAAATACATTTATATTAAAAATGTGTATCCTTAAACGAATAGAACTGATACCTATAGTTTAATTTATATACCGTATGGTAACTTTCAATACGTATTTTGATATTATTACTATTAACCAGGGCTTACATTAAAAAAAAAATTGTTAAACATTATTTATTATTTATGGACTAGTTTAAATGTACAAAGGTAATTTTTATTTTGTTTAATTTAAGAGGATGTCAGCGCACTATTTGTTTTCTCACTCTGACCCACATGCAACATAGACTAAACAAATTTACGTAGAAACATTTTTTCTATGTTTTTAAGTAATCTTAGAGTAAAATCACCCATTACAAAAAAGGTAGAGAATAATATTTTTGAGGGAATGTCATATCGATTTGTCTAAATATTGTCTCAAAACAATTTAAACATCATTTTAATGTACAACATTTTTTTGTTTATTTTGAAAGTAGAATACAAAGTCAAATAATAATAAAATATAAAATCGATATGACATTCCCTCAAAAATATTATTCTCTATCTTTTTTGTAATGGGTGATTTTTCTCTAAGATTACTTAAAAACATAGAAAAAATGTTTCTGCGTAAATTTGTTTTGTCTATGTTGCGTGTGGGTCAGAGTGAGAAAACAAATAGTGTGATGACATCCTCTTAACACTTAATTTATAAAATGTACTATTTCTACTTATAGAATAACTATTACTCTTTGGTATCTAAATTCAACTTTTATAAAACTTTTCTTGTAAATATTTTCTTATAATATATTATAATATCTGATGGCGTGGTTTATCTATTGATATTTTATTTGTTTTTTTTATACTTATCCGTTATATACATGATCTTTAAGTTATGAATTATGATTTTAAGTCCTAATTGAAAAATAAATGCATATTAGTGGGTTAGGTTAGAATTTAGTATTATATATTCATGAAACATAGAAAATACAGTCTAGTCTATTTATCAATAATATTGATGTGAGCAAAAGGGTAAAATGCATGACAATCTTACACAGTGTACAGTTTTTTTATTTTATGTTTCTTATATTATTTATCTGTTCGAAAGTTTAAAAAATTTACAGTTTCAGAGTTATTACAAATCATAGTAATCATACTATGCATAATATATTAATACATCTTTTGTAGGCTTTATTTTTCTAAGATGTTTTCATCATATTTATTTTTATTATTATTTTAAATTCATTTCAAACATTTAAACAGCTACTTTATTTTTATTGATCTAATTAAATTATTTTTTTTTACAGACAACGATTGGAGCAAATTGTCAACAGCTCATTAGTTATAATTACTCGGCTATTAACAAATAATACTTGTACATTTTTGGTTAGAACATCGACAGAATCCCTACTAACAGGAACTTATAGCTCATATATTATTTAAGTTTATTTATGGAACAAATAATCATATTATATTTATTTTTATACTTGTTTTATTCTTTTGTTTGTATTATAATTAAGCTAAAGTGTGATAGTTTTATTTTAATCAACGAGTCAAAGCTTTAACCCAGTAAATAAAGTTATTTAAGTTTTAAAATCCTAAGCCAAAGCTAACAATTTGTTTAATACAATTCATACAATATTGATTTTGTATAATCTGTGATATAATGTTTAGATGTATGACTCAATTGGGCCTTATATTTTAATTTGTAATATAAATATTATAAAAATTAACTCTTCAAATTTTTTAACACTACTTATCTTATTTTTTTGACTTTCGTATTATATTATTTTTAACATTCATAATATTCTCTAATTTTTATTATTACTAAGTTAGTCTTATTATTTTTAAGCATACAAATGAATTCAAATATTTTTTGAACACTATTAATAATAAAACTTTTATTTTATTATAAATTAGTTAAATACAAATCAAAAAAAAAATATATATATATATATATTATAAATAATTTTATAAAAAAGCAATATAGTATTTTCAGAAAAAAAAAGTTTATATAATAATACAGTACATATTATGTCATAATATATGTAATATAGTAGAAATAATATGATAAAGCTGTTAAATCATAATTTACAAAGAGTATCATAATTTACAAACAGTCTTAATAAAAATTAATTTTGCTGTATTTTTTTTTTTTATTATGTGGTTTAGTCATCACCCTTGAGGTATGACTCAAGTGGATTAGGACCTCTTCTTTTGGCAGTTATTGTTGTGTTGGATTCTGAAAAGAAATAAGAATTTTTCAAAAATTCATTTGATATCATAATTTATCTAAAAATGTACCATTGGGTTGTGTTTGAGTCTGAACATGATTAACATTTAAACAATTCAACCATTCTGTAAAGCCAATTTTATTATCATGATTCACATCACAATGCCGAGGTAATTTTTTTCCGCACCTTTTCAGTTTGTTGTTGGCTGACATTTCTTCGCGAAAACTCTTCCATTCTTTGCGCTCCAACACCTTTTATATTCAAAAGTAATAAATTAGAGTGTTAATATTACTAAATTCAGAATTCTCATATATCCAGAATACATAAAAACATATAGTTGACACTGAAATTAATCCACTTACATTATTGTGATTTGTATCCAAAGAATGAAAAATGTCTGAAATTATCGATTCGTAGTCATTAGCAAATGATGCGTTATTGTTTTTACTGTAATAATTATAGCAAAATATTAGTACACTTATTTCTCGGTCATAAATTAAATGCTACTAGTGTACAACAAACCTGTGTTTGTGTCTTAGATAATCCATGAGATCTTTTAAAAAAATATGTTTTTTATGCTCCGGGCAGCCTTTCATTGGACTTGAAAGTAATGGAATACCATCACATTTAGGGTTAGAATCTTTCACCGAGGTTCCTGGTATTGGTTTTCCGGTGTCTTCTTGTGCGCACCAACAATAACCTAAGTTAACGATTCCACTCAATTATAAAATAAAATATTTTATATTCTGATAATCCTATTGAACCTTATAATTGTACATACCAACTGATTTGTAACACTGAACATGTTTATATCTTCCGTCAACAGTACATTCTGGTATGTACTTGTGAGATGATGTCGATGGATCATCCAATGCTTCCTGTCTGTCCGTTAAACAATCGTTAACTGTAAAAAAAATTTGATGTCAGTTTATAAATTAACTAAAAATATAGGTAGGTTTAAGATAAATCTTATTTCTATAAGATACACAAATATATAACAAGCAAGGGCGCAGAGCTAGAAATTTCGTCATGGGAGGAACCAAGTGTGCATTTAAATTTTTACCCTAATTTAAAATTTTTTTTCAGCATTAGGTGTGGATAGCAATTTTCCACACTGTCACCCGCTTGGCTACTCCACTGATAACATGTATGCAGTTTTTTTTACTAAATTTCATTCGCAAGGCACTTTACCACCACTCCAGGTCCCAAGTCTTACATTTTGCGGTCGAATTAATATTTGCAGTAAAAAAAAATGGAGTCTTAGAATTAATGTACCCATCTAGTACAGTAATACTGCAGTAATATAGAGGTACTTATGTCAGGATTCACAATTATTTTCGCATTGGGCGTCACAAATCTTAAGGAAGGCCATGCGCCAGCTCCACCTTCACAAATTTAAATTTGTTTTTTAACGTTCAATGTATATCAGCTATATTATTCTCTACGTATTATTGGTATTATTAATACTTAAACCAATGTATTTGAAACAAATTGCTGAAACTCGTGATTCAAAAGTTGTAGGTTTCGGCGTTTCGCAGGTAGAATCTCTGAATAGTCTGATACTCTGATGGTTAGGTGGTTAGTAAGGTATAATTTATAAATAATTTATCTATATCCATATGGTATATATTGAACTACCTAGGTATTAAAGATGCGTGTAGCAGCGTTATTGAGTTGTAAGTTGTAACCATTTATACCTAATACTATTATAGTACGGCCTACTTTTCGTTGGCCGTATTATAATATAGACGCAAGAACGGGGAAACATCTCGCAGCGATGTAGGCTGTCTTGAAGACAAAATACAATTATTTGCATTATTTAATATATTATATACCTACATCTTACATTTATACCTTACCCCGGACTACCTCGGCTCACCACGACCACGATGTAGAGGTATAGGTTGACCGCGGGCGTGGTACTATGGTATGTGGTAAATTCGGAGCATTATATGGTACCTACATTGGCGGCATGCGTCTGACGCCAAAAAGTCTATCATTAAGACACGGTCGCTATAACTTGGGCAGGGACCATATTTTAAATACCTACACGTCTTGCGTATAGGTATTTACCGTATTTGCGTCTTGCGTATTTCGTGTTCGATAATAATACATACAACGGTAAATAAATAATTATGGTTAACTGACTAAAACCGAGTTTCTAGTTTTCCACTAAAGGCGGGTTTCCACTATACACGTTTGCCGTGTACACGAAAAATGTTCAGCTATGTCCAACAACACGGTATCATAGTTAACCGTGTGGTAACTGAACGTAAACAACCAATCACAGCAAAGGATTTGTATGCACATGAACGCGTACGTGTATAGTGGAAACCCGCCTTAAGCCGCGTCGTGTGAACTGTAAATTTTAATACTGAATAGAGGTACATAATACCATACGTATGGACGTATCACGTATGGTAAACTTTTAGCCATCACCATTCACCGTAACTTGTTACCTACGTCCTGGCTGTCGACCTGACCACATCGGCAAGATACGTAACAATAAACGGAACCACTACTCTGAATGTACACTTGATGTTTTGATGTTAACTCGGCTTTATATATCAACATTAATGGTATATGATGCTTCGCCAGAGGTCCTGCACGCAATTAATCAATCTCAGTTACCGTCGAACGTAGGTAACGTACAAAATACAAATATCTATATAGTACCTAGTGAACCTAAGTAGTAAGTACAGCGTGATTAATTAAGACATAAAAAAATGGTAGCTACATGCCTTCATTTAAGTAAATTCTCCCAATCCTCTGAAAGGTTGTAAGATCATGTGATTCCTAACACATGCATTCGTTAATTATTTTACGACAATAGTATTATTAAACATTATTGTTATTTTTTAGTGATTGTACATTAATTGTACCATCAACTAAGATAGGTACTGACGCATCAGTGGCCGTGGTGTCCCTCGCGGATCACTAAATGCAAGGTTAATAAATAATAGCTATTATCTACTAACCTTGCACTAAATTTAGGTACCTATTAGATCATTTAGTAGTCTATGATCTAAGAAATGTACCCACCTATGCAGTATGCACTATAAACGAAGCAGATATGATGAGATCTGTATGTGATACGCAGCATGGGCGCAATTTGTGTTATATTTATGGGGGTGCTAGATTTATGTCGACTAAAGTGGTCAGTGGGGGGCTCTGCCCTCGACACCCCCTCCTTTCGTACAACTTAAATTTTTACACCTACTCATTAATCTTAACATAAACGAGTATCTACCTATAACATAATACACTTTTATCTATATTATTGTTCTGATAGGTAGGTATGCATAGGTAATACATGTATTATTATTATAATGAAAATGATGAGGTCTTAGAAATAAATGTTTCCAAATACCTATTGCATAATATTAAAGTCAATAAAAATTTGGGGGCGCTAATATGAATTTTGGCACCCCCCCCCCCAAATTGCGCCTATGATGCCTAAGCCTATATGGCGTAGGCATCGTGCCGTTCTTTGAATTTATCATAGCTAAACATTGCATTTACCGACCAATTAGAAGCGGCGCGATTCGTTTACGAAGTTCCACCAAAAAAATGTGATCATACTATAATTCAAGATTTTATACTTGTAAAGTAGGTTTATCTTTTTGTTCTGTTAGGTAAGGCTTCGACGTCTGAGGTAATTAGCCTGAAGGGTATTTTTAGTCGGTTAATACTGCTATGGGGAGGGTTGGAAGTTTGGAACACGTGTATAATATGTGGGGAGGATTTGTCACTAAATACCCGGTTGGTCACCCATCCGGGACCAGTGATACCGGCTGATGCTTGACCTCAGACCACGTTCATGACAGAGGCTAACCACTGTGCCACACCAGGACACAAAATATACCTATCTATACTCGTGGATTATACCATGTTACTTTATTATAAATGTAAGTAGGCACCTACACTAACTGCCGCAGCTGATATTATAACATATTGTGTTACATTTTGATCAACTGTTGATAATTTATATTTAACTATCCTATTATGTGTACCTACCTAAGTACTTACTTAAGTAGGTATAAGTACTGAGTAGGTAGTGTGTACCTATTCTGTATATTGTATATCTAATATATAAGTACTGTGCGTTTTATTGTTTTAATAATAATATTGTATATTAATGAGCACAAATACCTTCAGCCTCTTCCTCTTGGTCGCCTTCGGCCATTAAACCCGGAAGAGTACCACTAAGTGTAGCTACGCTTTCTTGTAGTACTGCGAATACAAAAAGTATTTCATTATTATCTCGTCATGTTTTAAATGAAAAGAGCAAAAATATTTAATATATAATATGTATACCAAAATATTATATATTATATTATAATATAATATTAATTATATGGGTATTTACTATTTACTAGCAGTGGCGTACACAGATATTATCAATGGAAAGGGTTATATAAAAAAATTATAGGTATCAAAATGTTTTTTTTTAAATTGTATTAAATTATATACATGATACATCTATATAATATTATATAGTAAAAATAAATACTAAAGGGGGTATGAACTATGAACTCCTAAAACCTCCCTCCCTTATGTGTAGGCCACTGGGTACCAGGCAGGTATATCGTATTTGTACTTACTGTCTTCAGGATCGGCTTCCTCGAGACCGATTCCACTGTCGTCTTTGTCTTCGTAGTCGTCCGGTGGGGGAATTTCAGTCGTAGTGGTAGTTGTAGAGGTGGTCGTAGTCGAGGTTGTCGATGACTTTATGCCCAATGTTTCTGATAATTATTACAAATAAATTATAATATATTTAATAATGTATAATAGGATATTTATACAATTCAAGTTCCAACAGATATCTGGTACTATACAGATATAGGTTATATTATGTAGCTGGATGAACACAATTAGGGCCGTATGGTAAAGATGAAAATTAATGAAAAAAATTAACTTGAATATCTAGTAGGTAGTTGAGTAAGTTAAAAGACACAATTCGTTCTAAAAGGTTTTATTGGGACAATGGGATTCAGTTCGTACTTTATATGCAGTTTTCTTCATTGACTTAACTTAACTAACTCAATGGCTGCATACGAACTGAGTCCTAATAAGACATGTTTAGAACGAATTAAGTCCCGGGTTGTTTTAAACCTTTAAGGTGTACCTTAAATAGGTACCTATATTAACTGAGTCCCGTGAAATTTTAAATTTAATACCAATTGAGTCCATGTTTTAAACAATAAACTACATTCAACAAGTTTAAAGTTAATATGGAGTTAAATACAGTATAATCCCGTTACAACGAACTCCAAGGGACTGAATTTTTTTTCGTTATAACGGACATTTCTTTATATCGGGATTCGTTGTAACGGGAACTTATTGTATTATAACTCCACACCTACACTTAGAAATAAGTTATTTAATTAGCGCCTATGTCATTAGTCATAACTCCACATAGTGACTATGTAAGTTTTACATTTTTAATATATTATAACCAAATATCTTGTTGTAAATGTATATAATATGCATCAAATGTCGCAAAGTTTTCAAAACTATTCTAATAAATAGGTATCTAATATTATAATTAATTATATTTTCATTAATATACTTATAAATAAAATTTCTCGCGATCTCAGATGTTCAATTACCACGAAAACAAATATATAAACATTTTTATTTTAATAATTGTATAAAACAAAATCTAAACTAAATTAGCTATACATATACATATAACTACATAATATAACCATTTCGTCTTTTTGATTAATGAATAACCGAGAATAACTATCAAAATTCATGAGTAAAAATATTAATAAGAAAAAGTTATCGACGGAAAAATATGAGATGTAAAAGTGTATATGATAGCCGATAGGTACATATAACATAATATTATTCTCCTTAAATTATGGCTTACCGTCAATCGACAAACAATTATTCCATTCGATTTTCGACAAAACGCTATTATGGTCCGTGTCGCACGTGCGGATAAACGTCCTGGAACATCTCTTAGGCCTGACCACTTTGCGAACCAGTCTTTTTAGGTCTCTGTATTCTATTTTAGTGAGGGTTCCGTTTTTGTCTATGTCCAAAGCACTGAATTTCCATTCAGAGACTCGTTTGTCCAACGTAATCGGGTCCAAAAGCGAACGATTACCTATATATATATATATATATGTAAATATAGATGAGCGCTTAAAATTGTATTATTGATTATTATTAGGTACCTAGGTATATAAGTATTTTTTTCAATAAAATGATTAATCTATCCACCTATCTATCTATATCTATTCTATCTATCTATACTAATTATAAAGCCGAAGAGTTTGTTTGTTTGAACTTTCTAATTTTTGGAACTACTAGTCGGATTTGAAAAAATCTTTATGCATTTAATAACCTAATTCAAGCGCGTACACAAAAAAAAATTCCGAGGGGGGTTCATAGTAGATTTCGGGGGGGGGGGAAGTGTTATTACGGTGTCGTTTTTTGTTTATAAATGACTGCTATTGATTAAATCTTACAGATTATAAATTATAATTGTAATAATAGAATGAAATCTATATACCGTGTCGAAAATCGGGGACACTGTATAATTAATGATACAAATTATTAAGTACCCTATATACATATTTTTTAAATTCTGTTTGTGAAACTAGACTATTAGATCATCAATCTTCTGCAGACAGAATTGTAAAATATGTTAGGGTACTTAGTAATATAGGACATAGGTAACTGAGTTATAGAGTGTAATCAGTTTCCGCGGACACGTGGTATACAAAAGACAAACAATATCTATGCCTATGCCCTTAATTAGATCTCGGGGAAGAAGATGGGCTACATTTTGTCGTGAAAAAACCAACCCGAGGAGATTATCAAACAGGGATTTACGTTTCTAAATGGATATAAATAAAAAAAAATGTAAATGGACATTGGTGCTAATTATAACATAATGTATACAATATAAAAAGGTTTAAGATAATATAGTTTATTTAGTTCTCGATAATTTGATTCATGATGCTTGTACCTGATCCGCCCGAGTAACCAATAGCAACTATTTGGCATTTATATACAAAAAAAATAATAATACTAATTTCTACTATTGCCGTTATAATCTGCAGCCAAAGGCAGTCATTTTGCATAAACCAAAAAAAGTTTCAATTTCCACCGAGAATCTCAAAATCCCTTTTTGACCACCTCTTAAAAATGCGAATATTGTAACTAACTAGTAATGTCTATAATATCAGTAAATATTGTTGATTAAAACCCTAATAAAATCAAAATATTTATTGCATACATTTACAAAATAATAATAATAATAATATGTATATAACTTTAATTACTTTACCATTTAATAGTGCTGCATATTGGTCTCGATTGTACTCCGTTTTGAATATTCTGACTAAATTATTGACAAATATTGCTTTATCATTTTTACTGCATTCTAAAAACACAGTGACCATTTGTTTAGAATAATTGATATGTTTGTATGTATACCTAATGAGTAATGAGTAATGACTAATACCTATGGGTACTGTAATATTGTAACGTCTAGATTGCCTAGATCTGGTTGCCTAAGTGTCTAACTTTCAGACACTGCAGTCGCTACATCAACATTAATTGTATACCCGTTTCTCACATTAAATACATACCTAATGGCTAATATAGTAGTATATGCATCTAGATTATGCTAAATTACATTAAAATCCATTCCCTAAGAACTGAAGGTTCTAGAGCGTGTGTTGTGTGTTTCTTTTTAACGGGGAGAAGATATGCTCATAGCTCATCACATCATAACAGTTAAAAGATATTCCTAGAATTTTTAGCTTGAAGGTGAGTCGTGTGATAAATAATTAAATACTTTTCTCCACATTCCGCACAGTCCGCCATACTCCACTTTATTAACTTATATTAATATATTATAATGTCTATGTCCTTTTCAATATACATTTTGGCAATGTATATCGTATTATTGAAATAAATTACAAGATTATAAATGTATAAATTAGAACCTCTAGTAAATCAATTTAATCATAAAAACTAACTGAATTCCTTTTACTTACAAGTTTAAACTTTAATTATAATATTATTAATATTACAAAGTATAATGGGATGTTAAACCTTTCGAACCTTAACACTTTTTCTAAAGTTCAAGAATAAAAAAAAAGACATTTTTGGTCATACTTATTTTAATTTTTAAACCGCATAGATATTTTTTGGTTTAAATAAAACTTTTTTTTCGTAATTGTTATGGATTTTTCAATAATTATAATAGTAGATGATAATGAACTTAAAATGCTTATAAAAACAATCATGCCCATGTATCTTTAATATTTTTAAAATGCTATTATACAAATTTGTGTGGAACCTTGTATTTTTAGTTCAAGCATTTGGCACAGCGAATATTTTTTTTCATATATAGAAAAAAACTAAAACAATTTGAAAATTTAAATTGTCTATAAATAGCTCAAAAAGTGTCAAAATATCTTGCATATTTTATTATGTATAGATAATTATAGAATAAACAATAAAATAATTTATGGAAAATAATTGAAAAAAATTGAAAATTTCTCATGCCTATAACTAGCTTAAAAAGAGTCAAAATAATTGGAAAAAATGTATTTTACAATGGTCATATAATCATTTGGTGAAAATTTAAGGTATCTACGGTTATTCGTTTTTCAGTTACTGCAAAGAAACAAAATAGTCAATAATTTCGTTGAAACTGGTTTTGCGTATGAATTCCCATTTTTTCTTAATTTTCTTTTTGTTTTTCCTCACTATTTTGAAAACTTTTACTTTTGACCATCCAAGAAACCAATTAAAATCATTTTCCTATTAGAAAAAATAGCAGAAAATCGAAGCATTTTTAAAGACCCAAAAGGTGATAACAAACACACAAATAAAACAAAACATCATTGTAATATCGCTCCGGAATCAGAATCTAAAATTATTAACTCTAATTATTTGTATATTGATTATCGGTATAATACGATTTAATCATATGAAATAACTTACATTCTTACATTCTTACTCTATATATTATTTTTTAAATATATAACATAATAGACAATAGTAATGTATAAAATAATTTATATATTTTATTTCAATATTTTCAACAGTTATATATCTACACAAACTATGTATTATTGTTAATTTATTTACCTCTTCTGGGATTACTTCCTTTCTTCAAAGAACCTCTACGCCATTTGCCTATCAAAACATAATACTACATAATGGAGTTTGAAAAAACAGGAGTAAGCATGCAAGTATTACTGAAACATAATTTCAAACTAACCTCTGCCATTATCACACTGAGGCTTTTGTCCTCGAACAATGGTGTTGGCCACCACTTTTCCCGCAGGTGTTACACACCAACAATATCCTTCCTTTTTATGACATTGAATCCGGAAGTATGTGCCGTCCGCTTTGCACCTGGGCATATACGAGTCCGGTGTCCTAGTTGGATCCCCTGATTTAATAGTGTGATCCACCCAACAGGGCTGCTTTTCTATATCATTCAATAAAAAGTTTTAAATTTTAATACGTCAAATTTATTTAATTTTTGTATCGATAGGTATACTGTACACATAATATAATCTGGTTATTATTTGGTCTATTAAGTTCTAAAACTTTAGATTAAATCTAAAATGAACTACCTAGTACCTACATATTATAATAACGATATAACTAAGCGAGTAAAATATAGGTGCCTAATAAATTATAATATTACTTATTTACAACTAGGTAACCGCGCTATTACATTTAGTAAAAACTTTAAACGTACATCTAGATTCTAGGTAAAATAGTATACATATATAGCTACGTAAACTTCTTAATATTTTAATATAAGAACTAAGAATGGTTTACTTTATCAATATAAAAAAACTAGATAAGTAATTCTTAGTAATATAAGTATCAAGTATCCTAGTGTTACCGAGGTAATTAATAAAATGGTTATTTTTATTATTTATTAATAAATATTTTAAACACAAATTCAAGTTTAATTTTCCTTAAATATAAAGGATTTTTAAAGGGAACATTATAATAAATACATTATAGTCAGCTTCACGAAAACTGGTGGCTGATTTTAGAGCTCCTGGTGGTGTTTTTTTGATAGGGCTATATTATTTAGATAGCCCTACCAAAAATACACCACTGGGGGCGCTAATATCAGCCACCAGTTTCCGTGAAGTGGACTATAGTCATTATAGTTTAACTAGTTTAAGCCTCCGCTCAGTATAAGAAAATGTATTTAAAATTTCTTCTTTATTCAAGACATTAGACCAATCACTTTCGATAGCTATTATTGACAACTTCGAAAAACGATTTGGCAACATAGTAAGTGTTAATGCGAAGCATTGCAGAAAATGTTCTTTCACAAGATGCTGAACTTGTTGGAATGGAAAGTGATAAATGTAGCATTTTATATAAATTTGGAAACACCGATTTTTGAATTACACACTTTAGCCGCTTTGAATGCTCTTGATGATTATTTTCTGTTAGACTCCCATAACAATTTTTTGCCACCAACAAGACTATTTTTGTGTTCTTTGTTGACATCTACTATATTTTTTTTTTTTTTTAGTTAAGTATTTATGTAGAAAAAAATATACATGATTTTACACAGGATCATTATAATGATAATATACATACAATAATATAGTTGGTCAAAGATGTTAATAAAAAAAATTAAGCAATATATCAAATTTAAATTTAAAAATTAACTACCGTTGGTAGTAGTGTGGGACCATAGTAATTATTACAGGGGGGGTACTGAGCCCCCCCTAATAGTTACGCCTATGACACCTAAACTGTATCGTTATGCATGTACATGTATTTTATCATAATATATACAATATACATAATGCGTGTATTAAATACATTCAGTAAACTATTAGATAATCCTGATAATCATGATGTATATTATATAGAAGTATATCGCTGCTAAACGATTAGGATGTATGTAATATGTATAACAAAATACATACTTATATAATATAAAATACGCATATGGATGTATTTTGAAAAGTTATAAAATGTTTGTAAGGGGTTAATCTATAATGCTTGAAATCGATGTACCTATATTTATTGCTTTTTGTTATTTTTACTTCTTCAGATACTAAAAGAAATATTATTAGGTACAAAAAAGAACAGTAAACAAATGAATCTTTTTGATTTTACGCAAGAAAGACTTAGGCTGACCGAAAAAAATCGGCTCACGAATAATATAATTTAATATATACTTTAATATTCCAATGAAATACATTAGGTATTATAATACATCATATTATGATATTCGAAAAGCGAAAAGTGTCGGTTACATCACACAATATTATTATATTATATTATGTTAGAATAAAATGTTACCTTTGCATCGTCCCCGGTGCTTGACACGCAACAGCGAGTCGTTAAAGCATCGGACCCGCAGCAATGCACATCTACTCGGGTAACTAATGTTATCGGTGCCGCACACTGGTCTCCTGGTGGCGGCTTTCTTCTTTTCGCATCGTTCTACTCGGCCTTTGCAATCGAACTCCTGTAGACACACGTATAAATTATAAAATTTATGAAATTAGGTATTGTTATTTGTTTGTGTGATATATATTATAGTATATAATATCATTGATTATAACTATTTATAACCAATGATAATATTATGTATAACTGTATAGGTAATAGTACCTATAATATAAATTATGTAATTTACTTGATACGATTTTTTTCAATACAATATAGGTAGGTGAGTGAAATAATTTATATTATTTTATTTTATTTTATTTTTCTATACCTAAATATATATATATACAGGCTACAATAAATGTATTTATTTATATATAAAAAATAAAAATCGACGTTATTTATGTACTCGGCTTACTACAAGTTTTCCGCCGTAATGAATTAATGTAATAAGTACGCACTTTATTCTAATTTGTAATGTATTATATCATATATTGTATATTAATATGCAATAGATATACAAATACAATATGTCAATATACATATAAGAATATTATTTGCAAGCTTATATTATATTATAATATTATACTGCAGGAGACTAGTGGATGAAAAAAAAATTGTTTTTTACGACGGCGATTGTGATTACGAATATAACGTCGACTGTATTCAGAAACGATTTCAAAAACTAGTTTTATCATCGCGCGGCCGCGCAAGGACGACAATACAACTACGGGGTAGAAGAAAAAAAATTACCCGAAATGCATTTCGGCTTTTTAATATAATTTGCTGGCGCCATCACTGACTCGCCGCAGACGTTGTAGCGGGAATCGGAAAAAGACTTGGAACGCATAACTGTAGGTTGGACGTCGTTACTCGTTACTCATTAAAGTTGTTCCTATATAATGTATGTAGGAAAAAACTGGTTTCGCAGTTAAATCCAAAAGACCTTTTTTGTTAGCAAATTGGATTTTCGGGGAAAACATTTTATGAGTTTTTTCACTAATTTCCCGAGGCAGTCGTCTTTTGTATAGGTACATGAATACAACCTACCAGATAATCGTACAATATTCATAATAATATAAAAAGACTCATAAATCATAACTCATAAGTAAGCATACCTATTCAATCACATAAGAATATTAGTTTACCTATTGAGTAGGTATTGATTGAAAAATCTGTATCCTATATTATAAAATAAGTGCATAATATTATGTTTTTCACATGTACATTTTTGTCTTTGAACTGTAAACAGTGTAAACTATTCATAATTTTTTTCACTTATCAGTCATTTGTCCGTAAGCATATAGTCATACAAACTTATTGTGTCATTTAAATAATATAGATTGTCTATATTATGTTATTATTAAAATGAAAAATAAACTATAATCTATGAACTATGATAATATATTATTATGATTTATGATACATCGGTAGATGTATTAATATTACCTATTTAAGAGGTAATAATTACCATAACACAGAGTCATAGCCCATAGGTATTAGATAGTGCAAATGGTGGGGACGTAAAAATATGTAAAAATATGTATACCTTCTACCTACCATAAGAAATACATTTTTTTAATTTCATCAAAATCACATAGCCCTATCCCTCTTATTATGTAGAGCTTATGATACTGTCATATTGTGCACAAAAATATATAGCTTGCAACGTTCACGAATCTTCAGGTTTAATATTATTTTTTTTTAATAATAATATGCTTGGTCCTTACCTTAAACCGTTAAACCCATTAGTTATTACCTTTTAGTGTAGGAAATTGGAAATTATAATAATTTATAATATAATACTTATCAACAATATTATTTAGAATTAATGTTAGTTATTACTCCTTAAACACGATAAGATGTTTGAAATAATAAAATATTGATATTAGGTATAGGTATAACGTTTTCACCAAATTAATGTTGATACTTGATAGCTTAAGTTTAGTTAACAGGTAGGTAGTTAAAATATAAAATTATATAATAACTAGTAGGGAGCAAGGTTAAGAGTTCAAATAGTATTAATTTAATTTAAAATATACATTTTGTAGTGAAATAATAGTACCTAATAAAGAATTGTATATCCTTTTCTTACCTTTAATTTTTTTCCGAAAATAACACGATAATAGTAATTTTAACTAGTAATAAAAAATGTGTAAGAAGTTTTTGTTGCAGACGTCAAACTAACACATTTCGATTTATTACAAAAATAAAACGAACATTTAAATTATTGCAGTATCTGCGTATTAATAATACTGCAGTATTACAATATATTATTATATAGCTGCTACTTACACGACATATTATACGCTGCAGCGGGTCTCTGATCAGCGAACTGTGAAAAATAAACCAGTTTTATCACCGTGTTTTTTTCTTTCATAAATAATGTATAGGTGTTTTATTAATAACTCTATATAAGATGATAATTTTACGACAACCGGTCTCCTCTAAATGATATTAATTGGATAGCCGCCACGACTATACTCGTCTGCAGCAGCTGTAGGTATATATATCTAATATACAGATGTTACATTATATATTTATATAAGGTAGGTACTTGTAGTAATAAATATGTATTATAGCTTAACATATATAATGCAAAAATATATAGGTACCCGAACGGTCGGACAATATAATATATATTACACGGACAAGCGAGCGCGTATTATGGTGTGTTTCTGTCAGAACTGAAAAGTGTAAGACTTGTCTGACTTGGTATACCTGCAATTACATACACGATTTCACCAATAAAATTATGAAGCTTGCGATACATAAGCTTACTACCGCCTATCTATATATGTGCGTATATATTATATATTATATACATTCATGATTCGTCCAATATATATGGGTGGGGACACAGAAGGTATACAGTATAATACGCACCCTGGTTTTAGTGTTTTTAATATTTATCATATTTATTTTACAACTATACGTCTGTACTTATACACATCGTGAGACTTGGGTATGTACTTAATTTTTATCTGTAAAACTGTAAAAAAACATTTTTCTAACATAAAGTTTCATATATTTATTTAAAACGGCAGGCGTTAATTGTAACAACTGCGTGTCGGTAATTAGTATATGTTTTATTATATCATATTCTTAATACTTCAGAATTTGAGAATTAGTACATTACAGAACATAATAATATGGTATCCAGGGTCGATGAAAATACCTACCCTACCTATATTGGCTATTTCAATAAATATATCTTAATATTATAATAGGTGATTTAAAACCATGATAATATTTGAAGGGATTATTTATTTTACCATAATAATAGTATGGTTAAGCAGATATTTTCAAATAGTATTGTTTCAGAATTTCAGTAGATTTGAGGAGTCAATAATTTGATTATTTGAATTTATATACACATATAAATAGGTATATAGGTAAAAAGAACCAACGACTCGTTTTTTTTTATTAAGTCTCAAGAATACTAGATGTCTATAATACAACAGTTTCACTGTCGTAAGTCGTAACGGATGTTTATTCCTTCTGTGGTGGTGATTTATTTGGGTCCACTTATACAACATAAATACACTATTCGAATTGGATGCACCGTATACATATATGTATAAAAGATTTATTACGTGTTCTTTTTTTCATCTTCGACCGATTTGGATAATCTCTTCGAGCGCAATAATATTATAAACGTATATAATAGGTATATATAAATATTGTATATAAATGTGCGTATGTGTGCGCGCACGCGCGTATGGTTGTAATTTTTTTTTCAAGGTTATGGTTTGTGATACAAACGACAACACACAGGTTTTCAAAGGTTTCCATTGTAATTTTACTCGCCACCGCATTTCGTCTTCGTTTTAAACACACATAATGCGGTGGCCAACGTCCATATTATAGTGGAGACAATAATCAATATTATAATATAATATGTAGGTACCTACCAGCTATGCCAAAAAGGTTAACGGAAGAACGGCGGCGACATCCAATAAACGTATATAATAAAAGTATACTCGAACACTTATATTATAATGATATAGTAATAATAATAATATGTGCGTTATACGGCAGGACGGGAAGGATCCAAATACCGAGTACGTATATGTGGCACCGCAAAATCTTTGAACATTTAAAACGATAACGGCCTGCAAACGGATTCGATTGTATAGGAATTCTGACGAAAACTGGTTTTCGAGTATATTATACATCTTATCTTATTATCTATATTATATTGTTTAGAAATGTAGAATATTTTTATGGAAGACAAAATATTATGTAGGCAAGTATTTTATTTTTTTTTTGCGTGCTTAGAGTTCAACCCGTAGTTTGTTGTGTTTGTATAGTCATAAGCATAACTCATAAGTCATCGCTCGTCAGTTTAACGAAGTACGTTTACTTTGGAGTATTTACGATTTTGATTTATGATTTAATTTTGATCATGGTATTTCATTTAATAAAAATAAACACAATGAAAGGAATTTTAATTATTTTTATAAATATTAGTAGTTATATTACACGAAATTCTCCTGGATGAGGGGATTAACATTTAGCCCCAAGATAGAATGATACATCCCCATAGGCCATAATATGCCATTGTAAGATATGGTTATGTAAAATATCAAAAAATTAAAATGATCATATCTCGCTTGAAAATTAAAATATCGAACATAAGCCAACTCTTAAGCACAGATAATGTTATTATATAAAAAATTGATAATAGGTCAAATCACTCTAATATCAAAACTACCAGCACACTATTGAAAATAGTGAACTAAAATTTGCTATGCCGTGCGTGTGTAAGACGGAGACAACAAATGTATGGGTAGCGTCCTCTTAAGTTTTTACTATCATTAATTTTAAATGTATGTTCTATTTTCTTTATGTTATTTAGATCCACCAATAAAATATTATATTTATTATAAAACTCAAATTAATTGACATAAATTATTTTGAAAGATTTTCGATAACTTGTACGTATATTACACTCGATACAAATAAATAATGGGTTTCCATAAACAACTCGCTCTGAGCCAGGTGTGCCGATAGTATTGTGAAGTCAACCCTAGACTCGCCGGCACCAATGTTTTTTTCTCATACCTCGTGTATATGGTTTTTTTTTCACCCGAGGGCTTATAAATGAAAAGGTGTTTGAGACACGCCCAGCTAATAATCGACCTCATAAAAACTATTTCAAGACGTGCCAGACAATGTGCCGCCTCTGAACCGAGATCCTTGAGGGTATATATTTTTTTTCTCGAAAAATCATTCAATACAATAATACCTACTATAGTATATATATATACAGTCGAGTATATAAAGACGAAACGTGGATAATAATTAACCTAGTTACAATCGAACATTTAACTGGGGGTGTTGTATCGTTGTATAAAACTGGAATGAAATCTTTGAAGTGAGATATTATATATATTTACTCAGTTAGTCAGTTGGAGATAATAATTTACTCCAAATGAGATAGATATTAAGCTTTTTTTATTACGGATATAAAATATTATAATAATAGTTACGCTAAATGAATTTACTATAGTATACCTATCATTTATATCAATACACTAGCTGATCCCGTGCATTTTGTTGCCCGTTAAATCTTAAATGTACCAACTCTATATGACTCAAACTTTGTTCAATTCGTTATGTAATATTTGATGTGTGGTGCTCAAAATGTATCTTAACTTTTTTCCTGAATAAAAATTCTGATTCGCAGCAGTATATTATCACTTATCAGGTAGGTATCTGCGGTAGATCGCGGACCCCACGCCGTGCTGTTTTACGTAAATGTATGATTTAACTCTAAAGTATCAAAGTTATACAAAGTTTGTCGTTTTTACTTAATTCCACCTACCGTGGATTAATATAATCGATTACAAAATCCTAACCTAACCTAACCGTACTAAAATCCAATGAATAAAAAAAAACCAAAATTAATCCTTTTTAATTTAGCCCATCTTCTTTCCGGAGGTCTAATCTACCCACAAACATTCATTTATATATATATTGTCAAAAAATAATAATACAAATCAACAAACATGCCCGATTACCCAATAGCAACCAATTATAGACCTATAAAAGATAAAAGATATATATTTTATAGATCTATGCAACCAATATGTAATACACTATTATTATTTTAATCTGCAACAATAAACTATACATTTTTTATTATTTAGTTTATTTTTTTTCTGGATAGACGGCGCCACTGTTGTATTTTTGACATCCAGATTTCCTACTTTTCCGGTGAATTTTCCTAAAATTTACTTTCAGAAGAACCTTCTCCGTTATATATTCTTTCGTTTAAAAAAAAAATCAAGAAGATCTGATAAGTAGTTCCAGAGTTTAGCCTGTAGGGAGATTTTCATTTCACATTTATATAGTTAGATTAAATAATCTTGTTATGAATCTGGATGTTTCATTACAAATATAGTTGTACTTAACGATTTCCGAAGACTTGCTATTTTATATTATAATTTATAATACTACATTGTTTTTGGGTTAACACTAAACAGATTTGTTTTGAGCGCCGTGGAAAGGAGAAAATCGAGCGACTTACCTTGTTTGGAACGGGAGACGCGAAGCCGGTCGAGGAAAATAACAACAACATCCATGGCAATAGCTCAGCAACTGAATGAAAGTTCATGACGGTAATTGACGTGTCATTCTTCTCCGGGGTGTTCAATACTTCAATCTACCGATTACTGCAGCCGTAGCACGTGTGCATCAATCGCCTTAAGCGCATGTCTGTAACCAGAAGAAATTGATATATTATTATTATATGGGTATAATAGGATATAGGTTATGTGTTTGATTTTTATATTATAATTGGAAAAATGATGCAATTTATGGTTTCGTTTAACATGTTCTCTTCGCGGGATGTTTTCAATAGACATAAAATACATCAAGATTAATATTATACATATATGTATAATATGTATGTACTGCACCTTGTAGACTTATACCTACTTTATTATACAGCATCCGGAGGATATATCCTAGTTTTTTTTCTATATACCTACCTACCTTTTATTAATTAATAATTAATATTGTCATCGTGAGCAAGAAATAATGGCATCGAAACTTTCACCACTTCGTGATACAAATATACGATCAACCCAAACATCTCGAACAAAATAACCAGCACTATTTTCATTGTCTATTTCGGTCTATAACTTAACCATAACACTAATATAGCCGTGGAGTTTACAGAGTAAAATGTGTTACTGTGAACGTACAATTTACCATGAAAGTAAGTTTGTAAGACGGAGACCACAAATGCCCGTGGGGCGTCCTCTTAAGTAAAATCGTCGTAGTAGTCGCTATATAGCCATTATAGAATTACAGTACATAGGTAACATACATATTAATACTATCGGACAGCGGTAGGTACTCGGTATATAATCAATATTATATAATTTAATTTTTAATTATTTATTTGTGAGGTATATTTTATTACACCTATATAACATATTATTCATTAATAATATTTTTGATTGTTTAAATTAAAATCACGTGGGAAATATTATTAGGAGTACTTACTACCTAATAAGTTTTACTGTCAGTATAATAATGCATGGATGTATTCACTATTTATAACGGTCTTTTTTTAAATGTTGCTTTAAACTTCAATTACGTATGAGTAAATACAAATCACTGAATGTCCTTTATTTTTATTTAGTTGACATTAAAACTGGAATTATAGAAGCGGTTCTAAAAGAACGTAAAAATGGAGAGTGATAGTTTTGATATGTGAACGCTAAAAAAAATTGGAAGCATCATTAAGTAATAAGTAATTATGACAATTTGTAATGTACCTGCGCAAATCTTCGATGGTCTTGATGCACTTATAGTGTATACCTATGTGAATGCGGCCGCAGAAATTTGGATTATCACAATATTATCATCGTAACGAACGCGGGAGAAAAAGAAACGGAACGGACTATAATAAAAAAGAAAAAAAAACCAGAACGATCTTTTCGAAAAAAAAACCAAAAACGAAAAGCGACAAGTGGTTGATAAATACGCGGTAAATAACGATTTAAAATAATTATTATGATAATAATGACTAATAAAAATACCAACAACTACGATAGGTGCAGGATAAAATACGACGGATACGATATTGTAATGTATAATATTTTGTTTAAAAATATAAAATATAATAGGTATTAAATAAGATAATATTTGAGCATATTATAATATTGTACGTCCTCGTGTCTGTGTCGTGGTTTACTCGGCGGACCGTCGGACTATACTCTTACACGTACGGCGCGCGTAGCTAGAAGAGCCGAACTGCGCGGACGTACACACACCCACTGCGCTCACAATACACACACACACAGGCACAACACGAACCGTACACACAATAATAATAATGATAATGAAATAATATATATAATACTCACCACTCATTCGGAACGGGTCGGTGGTGGGTATGAAAAAGGTATATATTTAATAAAATATATATAATAATAATAATAATAACACGAGTCGCGTCGGGGCCCTGTGTGCATGCCTATAGAGTTTTTTTTATTTTCCACAAGCGTTAAATATCCACATATTATACAGGGTGTCTTAGCAAGCATGCTTACCGCAGATTTATTATCTAACCATGTATTTATTATTTTATTTGTGAAAACACCCTGTTTATGTATAGGCGTTAAACAACAAACTGGCCGTATACACATACCCAGAATATTTTATTTTATGTATACTATGTAGTATAGTACATTTAGGTAGGTATGTGTATACATAAAGCCACCCCGTCATAAGCGAAATAGCCGTTCACTGCCGACCGCGGCAAATTTATGATTTAAAATATCGTCTTATTTTTTAGGTTTAGGTACGTACAAAATAGTATAATATGCTCAATCGGCGTTAAGTTGGATAAGAACAATCAATATTATTATTATTATTATTATTATTATTGTTTCGTTTTGTGTGTTTTAACGAACTGCAGGTGTGGAACGTTATACATTTATAATATAGGGACGTTTGATTTAAAGAAACATAATAACCCAATAATTAAATTATTAACTCTATTTTTTGTATAAATAATAATATGCAAGTACAAAATGTAACTTTATAATATAAATAATGTTTATATGTATATCAGTAACACTATTAAATTAAATTGTGAAAAGTTTAATACAATAGATATACCTACTTCCATAGAATAATATACCTATTGTATATTATGCATATTAATAAATTTGTTCATAATAATTATTGCAATTTAATTTTTAATTTTTTTTTTATAAAATAGATGTTCCAAAATACGAAACTTTTATAAAGTATTTAAGGGACACCAACATGTGATAGGAGAATAACGAGAAAATTACGATAAACTGAGATGTGTAACCACTGTAATCTCTTATGTAAGTTAGGTGGTAATATAGAATAAAAAAAAGACACGAAATAAGCTATACAGAGTGTCTCGCACGTGTGTTCCATTTTCAACTTTTTTTAATAATATTTTTGAGCTCAAATAATAAATTTAATACAGTTCTTTTCAGAAAAAAAAAATAGTAAAAATCGATTAAAATAAGCGTAAAACTAGCAAGGTATTTGTGTAGATTATACATATTTTAAATTATCTTAATATTATTAGTAGACCATGATAAACTAAATCGTCTGACTAATCTTCACTAATTAGACTAATCTTATCGCTGTATCTTTATACTTTATACTGTTGTTTAACAAAAAAACAAAGTATGTTTAATGTATTTGTCATTTTAATGAATACATTTTTGAAGAACAATTTTATTATGTTATCTGACGCCACTTTTCGTATTTATTCCGACTACTATAATACGTCTAGTCGATTAAGATGCAATTTAAAAATTCAAATTGTTCGTCTTTCAACATTCGTATATATACCATATGCGTTTTAGGTGTGACACGTTTATACCTACTATATAATAATAAATACTATATATAATACATACGTAATAATAATTTAAGGTGCATATTATAGGTAGTCCGTAGTGGTCCTTATCCGGTTTTACTTGGAGGGCAAGTATAGTTTTACCAGTGAAAAAAAAACGCAATTTAGTTACAAGTATTTTCGTTTGTATATTTTATTTATTTCTGATCATATATTTTTTTTCTTTATTGAATTCCATGGCTCATTTTTTTATTTGATGGCGCCAAACCTTAGATTGTAGTAGGTATGTCATTAGTCATAGTTACGTATAATAATGTGTGGTGGTCCGTGGATGACAGTAGCGCCAGACTAGAATAATAGAAATTATGAGAAACGAGGGTAAATAAATAATCTCAACACACCCATTGTCCGACCAAAAAAAAACAAATGTCTACGACTAATGGAGATATGTCACCCCATAAAATTACCTAGAATGCTACTGGCTGGACATAAGCTTCATATCGTTATATTGTATTAAAATAATGATAGTAAAAATGAATAGCTTATGCCAATGTTCACTATTCGTTAGTGGAATTTATGAAAATTTTGATAAAGACGGAATTTATCTGTGTAGAATATATATATTTAAGTACACTGTATAAAACTCGATATTCATAGTTTATATAATATATATAAAGAGTATAGAGAGACATAAAATAGGTTTCGTTTTTACAAGTGTTGACAATATCCATGATTATTGGCTATACTAATTTTCAACTATAACTCGAACATTTATTATATACATTATATTATATATATATAATACAATTACTTACACTAGTTTATATAGTCACATTGGACATTTTTTAACACTCATCATCATAAATTGAAAATTATAATAAAATTTTTTATTACTAAATTTAAAAAAAAAGGATATTTTACAAAAACATAAAAGATCTATAATGTAGTATAATATAATCAATACTTTCTTTGAACAAAATCAATGTTTTTAAATTTTTTTTTTTTTGATAGATCAGTTATGAATTTTTAAGTTTCATACAGTTTAAGACTATTAGGTAAATCTTATCACATTATATATGAGAATCTATAATGTATAATTCACATATTATGAATTACTATCTATAGTACCTATACATTCATATTATTATTTAAATTTATGTTTTATAGTAGAGCCCGAGTTTGTTGCAAATCTACCGCCTTTACACAGTGTATATTCCAAGGGCCATGGGCCATAGCATATCGAAAAGAAAATAGAAAGTCTTGAAGTTAAACAATTAATACCGACATATACCCGTTAGCATAAATTACGAGTATTGATGTACCTATCTATGTGGATATATCTTATATATTATATGGTCTATTAAATATGATATAATCCTTGACATATTTTATGTATTTCTATAATTCTACGAACTTCAATGGCACTGAAACTCAATGGTTTTAATTTAAATATTGCATATATGACATATGTACACTATACAGTATAGTATTTATTATTGGTACTAGTTACACTACTATATTAGGACTACAGTTTACTGAAGTTTATATACTAAAATACATTATATATCTATTATAGTAGTATATATGTCCATAATCCATATATTATATACAATATAACTATAGATAGAAAAGTTCCTAGGTACATTAATTATTAATGATGAGTAGGTAGTTTTAATAGCAAGTGTATAAATATATTGATTCATTACATTTTTATAGGCAACTAATCGTTATATAATATGATTACTCAAAATGATTCA